AAATAATAACGTTTCATTTACAGCTCAATTCGTTTGTTAAATTCAGGTGTAAATTAGAATTTCGCACGGCCAAATCGCAATTATTAAAGAATAGTAAGCACTTAAGCCTGAGACACTCCTAAAGTAATGAACGGAAAAAAAATGTAGTTTGGAAAAAAATGACATGTCACTCTAAGTGATTGTGCGTTAACGCTTTTCTAATTTGGTCCGTTTTCATTTACAGCTAAACAAATTTTCAGACAAAAAATTTATACCGGTTTTCAAGCGTTAAATTTCGTTTTTTAACTATAATATTTTTCATTTAGATAAAAACAGAAAATTTTCTATTATGTAATTATGGTTTTATGATATAATTATGACTGAACACTTAGTGTTTTCTGATCGTCAAAAGGAACGGAATCTTTAAATTTAATAATTTCATGTTAATCGTAAATGATGTGTTTTTATTAATGACGAAAATGTATTTCATGTCAAAAGTAAATTGATATTTAGCCGATAACGTTTTCTATTAAAATGTCCGAATAGTAATAGCCAGCACATTGTAAAAACAACGCGTAAATTGTGACAAACGTGTGCTGTTAATTTACAACGACGATAAAAGTTAAAAGTGCATGCGAAAAGGGTGATGACGTGACAAATAGCAGGGCTGATATAATTAACCCCAAAATATATTTTGGAAGTCCAAAAACTAGTTGGCGCCGTTTGAGCTTTATGGAACTTTAAAATTTATCCCTTTGCCTGATTTATAAATGGCGCTAAGCTATTTGTACCACTTCGTAATGGCCACTACCACTGTACCGAATTTAAGTGATAAATTTTCAACTGATAAATGGTGTTAAAACCGGTGGCTAAACTATTTTTTGAAATCTGATCTTATTTGAATTTGGCAAGCGACAAATTGGATGACAGGGTAATCCGTTTTTCGTTAATTTATTAATTTTTCCATCAAAAACATTAGATAAATTAGTACACTATTATTTAATCAACATTCGAACTCTAGTCGTTGCGATTTCTTAGTTGGTTTGTTGTAGGCGTGTAAATTTTCGATTTATCAGTAATGTTTAATAATTATTTTCTAGCTAAATAATGCTGCTTTCAACTTTTTCATGCCACTCAGATGCAATTTGTAACATTTGAAATACCCAATTGTGGAAATTAAATACTTAATTTGCAAAAGCTTAGCAATAATGTGCCAAGTCCATGCTTTTGGGCACAATTTCAACTGACGAGAACTAATAGGTTTCAAACCGGTTCTAGGTGTCCTTGCTGGTGACGTAACCACCGTGTTATTTTTTGCATTTATTGGTAATTAAAAAAATAAGAGAAAATTGAAGTCAAAAGAAGTTATCAACATAACAACAGGAAATAACATTTTTGAATGAGATGTAAGCGAAATTACATGTATATATGATTTTCGACATATAAAATAAAACGAATCGCTTACTGAAACGCGATTGAGGCAAGATATGCAATCTTGTATAAGATTATTATACAAGAAATTTAAGGGACGTTCTCAGCTCGTTAGTTGCATTTACTTTATTACGTACAGTATTGAAATCTTGCAATACAGTCCAGTTTTCTCTCAAGACATTTATTATGTTTATTGAAAACATGCCTATTGAATTGATCACCCATCTACAAATAAATCTAACAAAAAATAACATGTTGTATAATTTACCTGCTAGTGGAGTATCGCCATTATTCGTGTATTTCAATTTATGGGTAGTAAGTGAATTGTCCAAAATTTTAACTAATGGAGTCTAATGTATCAACTAATGCCTTCACGTCAATGACCCTATTATTCTGCAATCGACAAAATATGCTCTCTTTAATTAAATTGCATATCCCTGCAGAAAGAAGCATACTTCCACATCGTTTGATATAAATATAACTACCCTTAGGAAACAGGCCCGGCCGCACCATTTTATTTTTTACTTTATTTTCCAATTTACTTTCTGATTGTATAGGGAAATGCTTAATAGAATTTTTAATATGAGCATTATGTTTTTATGCCGGGAACAGCTTTTTTCTAATACAATTTAAGGAAATTTCATATAAAAGACTTGCTAGCGTTCAAAAGTTAATGAGATTAAAATTTAATTACAGTTTATTGAAAAAATTGAGTTAAAAATTGGGAAATCGAGACAGGTATTCACATCATGAATTAGACTAAACACCTGCAAAAGTTCATATAGACTAAAATTGCCTGCAGTTTAACGAAAAAAAAATGTAGTTAAATGTATATAATTTAATGCCACTATGTTTACCAATTTTTAATTCCCCATGACATTTAGGCTGCTAAGTAATGTTTGCATATTTATTTGATCGACGTAATAAAAGTCGACGAAATCTAATAAAAACTTCCGATAACTAGATTTCCGTGGTTATTCTATCTCCGTCAAACTACGAGAGGGTTGTATCTACTAAAAATTCACCCTTAAACCGGTCCATGGGGAAGTTAAGGGGAATATTAAACGTCCGGGCTTTCCTCTGTCCTGGTCGGGGTACCAGATGCGGTGCATAAAAATGATTCATAGGGAAGAGGCTGATTTCGACTAATCCCGGTGATTCCCCTCTTGCAAATCACATATAGAATATATGGTAGTTATTGTGCCTTGCTTTTCGCCGGATTCAATATGGGCGTATCTATTTTTCGGCTTTATCGAATGCGTGTAACAGTTTTGGTCTAATCAACAAGGTGCATATTTTACCCGTAATCCATTTGATTAATGTGTCGTCTCGAACGAGTTTCGCTTATTTTTTACAGCACGTTTTAAAACATACCGCCCCCTTACCAGTTGTCAGTAAGATATTATATAAGCTTATTATAAGAGCAAGAAATCACTTTCATTGAATATCCTGTGAAATAATCACAGATGACGTGTTTGGAAAATCATAGTGCCACGTGG